TCCTACTAATTTAAGTAAGTTTTTACACTTTTAACTTTTCTATGTTTATTCATTGCTTCTTTGCAGGAGGAAATGGACAGTAACCCGATGGTGTCATCTCTGCTCAGCAAGCTGGCCAACTACACCAACCTGACCCAGGGTGTCCGAGAGCACGAGGAGGCAGAGAACGAGGATGGGGTCAGGAGGGTCACTGTCGTGGTACAGATGGATTCTTTTGTATACCAGTGGAAAGTTTGAAGATGTATACGATTTTAAGGGTTAATGATCTTTTTAAGGGTTTGTTAGCTTTGACTTTTAAGAGCTTGGTGTGACTGCAGGTTTTATGCGTCTTTCTCCAGAAATCAAATTTTGCAAATATTAATTTGGTAGATAGACGATAGCTGGGCCCCTCACACTCACACAAAAAAATGTAAGTAAATTAGGCCTGGTTTCCTTTACATACTAATAGCTAGGGGTGGATAACCTCTGGCCAGTTTGAGCCAACCTGTGAGTCCATTCATAAATACAAAATGCAACTCAGAAATGCTAATAAATTATCATTACAGCTTTTTTCGATAAAGGAATAAACCTCAGAAAAGAACAGCTGGCGATTGTCTCAAATGAAGTAGATGCAGAATGGCATACGTTCCAAGAGATATGGACAAATTATTATGTTTTTTGTGGAAGTAAAAGACAAGTCAGTGTGGCTAGTTTGTGTAGATGATGTTGCAGTGATGAAAGAAGCAAATTTCAAGCGTCAAGCAGCCTGAACAAGACTACATTCTGACTGAAACAACGCTGCACAAGCAAGTTTTGTGGCGAGCGAGCTGATAACTCAGAAGCTGAGACGTCATTCAGAGGCACAATCTGTGAAGAAGCCTTGTTGTTGCTGTGGACCAGCTAGAACCAGACAAAGTAAAATTGTGCATTTTGTGCAAACACTGTGCATTTCCCTACTCTCCAAGAAGAAAAGCCTGCTATGATAAATGAGTATGCTGGTGAGCTTGCAAAACAGTCCTTCAGGCATTTGGCGAGAAGTTTCAGGACATGAAAAGTAAACAAAAGGAACTGTGTTAAGCCGTTTAATGTGGAACCAGCTGATGTGCCTGACAACCTACAACACACAATCATTTAGCTGAGAAATATCATCTAGATCAAACCTTGGGTACAACAACCACCTTCTGCTCGAGTTCTATAAACTGTAGGCACGTCGTAAGGATTTTTCCGTTAGAAGGAGATGTGCACTTACCAATTCGGATTTTTGCAAAGACTCAGTTCCACTCAATTCTGAATGACCTAAACCTGGAGAGCCAGATGCAAGTAGCATCATCACCACTACCATCTGACAACTCACCACAGATAAGCAGTTCCATCCAGCCAACCCTGAGAGAGGTTAGTTTGTATGTGTTCAGTAATGAACATTTTGGTGGCACTTGAAAAAGGCACCGCACCCCTCCATTAAGCCTCTTTTGTCCAACTGCTTCTTTGTTTAAATATTAACTCTTGATTCTTTTATCATCATTCATTATTTGTATAGAAATGAAATAGTTAAACCACTGCAATGTTCCACTGAGTGTTTTACTGCTGTTTTGCTGCGAAGAGTAAAGAAAAAGAGAGAGAACAGAGATAATTTGAGACACAAAGTGAGAGACAAGACATTATGACCTTTAAAAATCGATCCATATTGTATCACTTGAGCTTCATGTGACACAACTGAGAAAGCAGTGTGGGCAGCCCGTTAAAACAAAACCGACTCACCGAAAACAAATGCAGAACACATTAGCAGCTAAACCAAACATACATCAACTGATTACTGACACGCTGTTCTCTGTGGCACCCATAAAACAGCAGTATTGATGTAACTTTACACAAACAAAGTCACAAGCTCAGCTATTGTTTGTGGTGTAAATAGATGGCCTGGCAAAAAAACAGACCTGAAATCTCAAATATTTGACTTGTTATATTCTTGTAAGCTCACACTTCCTTTGCTCAAATTCAAAGTGCAGCTGTGAACCAGAAAGATGTATGTAGCAGATACGCTCTCCTTTACCAGTTTGCCTTCACACGCACAGTGGTTGGCCAGATTGAAAAAACAAGGATTTAGTTTGGCCAGCGAACGTCCCCTCAGACTCGGAGATCCAGACACTGAGACGTGTGTGAGATACTGGAGGAGGAGAGTGTTTGAGCGCCAGCTGGAGGCGGAGGGTGGAGGTGGTTCCTGGCGCACCAGATCTCCGGCAGGTTGACAGGGTCAGAAAGTGTGACACTGACGCACAGTGAGAAAGAGTGTATGTGTGTTAATATGTATGAAAGACATTTCAGTTTCTTCGTAACAGTCTGGAATCATATGTGTTACATAGCCACAAATGAATGGCCAAAAACACGTCCATCTTCATCTTTGCAACTTTTTAATAACACAATCCCACTGTTCAATACAATTAAGTTTTGTTTCAGCATACACATACAGTCTATACAGTGTTTCTATGTTTCTAAAGGGTAAATACCCCCCCACCCCTTTACAATAAGCAGGCATGCAGATTAGTAACATTTTTAACCTTTTAAAATAATAAAATGTTTCTTTAAACACTTAAAGTAAATTATTTTAACTGAACACACCGATTTGATCAAATAAGCAGGGAATAGGAAGATAACTTTCAGTGCACTGCATTTGCAGAGTATATAATTTTAACGTAATTACCAGAGAGCTTTTATATATCAGTTGTGTCAATTTCACCATTGAAGTCTTTATGTTAAGCTAAGCTAACCTGCTCTTTGTAACTTATGTAGTATGTATCATTCCCCCTGCTCACTATTTTGAGACTTCTATATCGTGAACTCTCATAATGAGCTCCTCTGCAAAATAAAAACCCACTAATGAACTCTTAGTTACATCATTATTACAAGATTATGAAGTTCAACAACAACAACGTTGGCCAGTGCAAAATCCCAAAATACATTTCAAATTTTTTTTTTTACACTGCATAAATATGTTGAATGACCATGTTTAAATGTAGACATGAAGTTGTTTGTGCGGCTCTGCTCTTATTACATATTTAACTCGCAGGTTTGTCTCATGCCTTTCATAAAAATAAAAACCATGCCATTGGAAAGTGGTGTACACTAAACAAGACTGTTTAAAATCCGGCCTGTGAATATGAACATGTCTTGAAATATTTTGAAAAGAATAAGGAGTAGAATCTCCAGAGTGAGAAGGCTAAGACATGCTGCCCTCTCTCCTCCTGTCTCTTCGCCATTTTACTCACCATCAACGCCACAAGCACAATGCTGGCAAATGCAAGGCAAATTCACGATATACTGGTCTACATAGTGATCAGTGAATGATTTCAGACTCAGCTATAGAGTCATTAATTGTATTATTTCCAGACGCTATATTGCAAATCTCAAGCAGTTTGTTGCTTCCCTTTCAAATATTGCAATAGTGTCGTTCATTGTGAAGCCCTATTATATAATGCAGAATATAATGGAATCCATCTGGAGGCCTTTTCATCCTCTCAGAGTGGCGGACACTGAAATCCAACCACCCCCAGAACATTTTAAATACTCTAATGTAACCGTCCTGGTGGTAGAAACTAAACGTGTGCAACAGTGAGGCAGGCTTTAAATGTCATTGAGAACATGCTTCTGGTAGAACAAACACTTCCCTTCTCTGTCGTTTGTTTGGAAGTGAACAACCAGAGTCTTTGGGTAAAAGACAGTGGGGAGCTTGGACTCTGTGTAGAAGCATTGATGATGTTTCACTAACACCGCCCCCCGGAATGATAGCCGTTTTTTTTTCTGTCTTTAAGAGTGCACAGAGGGATATCTTGAGACTGAAAAGAGCAAAGACAGACAGTGCAGGGAGAGCGAGGGGGAGTAACGCTGAGGCAAGTGGAGAGAGAAGAGAGTAGCAAAAAGGGAGAAGATGTGGGAGATTTGGACATCCACATCAGTGGAGTGCAGCGGAGGTTTTTGTTTATAGAAAAATGGTACGTACACTCTGGTTTTACTATAGGGATGTATTTGTTGTGTGATGCATATTGGTACTATTGCAGAGGGCAACGATAATACTGTTACTTTGGTTACGTTTGTGAATATTTGACCTGAGCGATGTCAAGATGGCATTGTTGGTGTATTTTTGGTGTCTTTTTTCTCTCTCTCTCGCGTGCGGAAATTGTTCAAATTGATTTTACAAAAGAGACAGTGGATAGTAACATATTCTGATAAAATGTTAGTACATGACATAATTTAATATCAAAAAAGGTAAAATTATTGTTTCACACTTTATTTACACCAGGAGTGAAATTAAAAGTTGCAGAGAGTCAGGACAGGAAACTCCTGCTGTACAGTTTGTCTGTAAATTAAAATTTCAGTGTAAATTAGCTTTTTTTTCCTTTTCCTTAATTTCAATTTTAAAAGTGAAAATACTAAAATAATTCAAATTGAAAATAATAAACAATTGTTTCCACTCTGAATTAGTTAAATAACTTTCTGATCTTAATGCCTGCAAATCAAATACAAAAAGCGAATCCACGGACTTGTATTTCAGTCTGTACAGTAACAGGAAGTTCAGACTGAGCAGGTTATGCATACGTGACATTTAATTACATAAGTCAAGCCAACATGCAAAATAAGAGCCCTCTACTATTAAATACAAGAGCTTGTAAAAATAACTTGATAGGAAATAAAAGCTTCTTTGTGGTGTTATTATTACACTTTTAAACTGCTGCGTGTGTCGACCCCCACGTTTTAGATAGTAATAAATATATTAAATATAACATAGGCCTTTATATAATAATTGCATGAATACATGATTAGAAAAATATATAATCACACGACATAACTCGATCAATACACTGTAAAATGTTCTACATTTAAAGTTTCCCATTTTCATCCTGTATATTCAAAGCGTTATTGCAATTGTTCCTTTTCCCTACACTTTCTGCAGAAAGGTTTGCTCTTTGAAAATTCAGTTTAAGTGACGTGAAACAAAGTGTAGAGCCTCGTTTGTGTTTAAAAACACCCATTCTCATTAAGTCGATGAGGCTCTAACTGTCCAAGTTAAGTGGGTTTGTTTTCCTCACTGAGCTTCAGCAGAGGCACAGCAACAAAAAGAGATAATTTACTAAAAGGATTGTCAATCAATACAAAATTTATATGTAGAATCACAAATCACAATTTGACAGATAGGACTTAACAAGGTGCGACATCCTCTGCCCTCAGCAAGGATCTCTTTCAATTTGATCAGCTGCAATGCTGAAGCCTCATGTAACCTTTGGGTTCCACCTTTGCGCTAAACAAGTTGGCAATCTCCTCATGACCAGTATTTACAAGGGTGTGTACATTTTAAAAGCTGAAATAATATAAACATATTCTTTCACATGATGATTGTGTGTTTGTTGTCCTGCCCGTCTATACAGTGTGGTTCAGTGCACACTGTAACTGTACCATGCTGGTTTTGGATCTAACATTAATATTAGATTAATAAGATCTAATATTCGTGCATGTCCTCTTCCCTCAGCCCATATTCATTCATCCACGCTTTGCTCTGACCTATTCAGTTTTGGCCCATAGTTAAAATGTCACACTGCAGGTCGACACTTATCAAAATCCTCTAAAATCGTTTGTGATGGGATAAGTAAGGACACAGAGGATAGTGTAATTGATGATATTTTGGGCTGTCATTGGAAACCTATCTTCCTCCCACTAACCCATGTCATCCTTTCCTCTTTTCATTTATCCCATTTATGTGCATGTCTGTGTGTTTGTCCACCCTCAGGTCTCCCAAATGGGAACCTTCATTGGAGTTTACCTGCCCTGCATGCAGAACATCCTGGGGGTCATTCTCTTCCTGCGTCTCACCTGGATCGTTGGGACAGCGGGAATCCTGGGCTCCTTCGCCATCGTCTTCATGTGCTGCATCTGTGTGAGTCATTTAAAAAAAATCCAACAACTTAAGACACTGACTTCCTGATGATTAGAAATAAATGTGGTCTAAAAAAAGCTGTTGAAATGAATCGTAATGCGAAAGAACAATGTTTGTTGAAAGACAACAAACAGAGTCCCTCTTGGCTATTCTGTGAATCACCCTATAACTGCTTGAACGGAACAATGACATGTCTGAGGATGAGTCTGCGATTTACGACAGAAAAAAAAAAAAAAAAAACTGGAGGCCAGGCCGCGCTCCCTCCTCTGAAGCTGTGGTGTGTTGATAATGACAACATTAATCTCCATTCCTGAGCTCAGGGGAGAATCCCCAAAACAAGCAAAAAAATAAGTGACTTATTTACAACCCCAATTCATACGTCAGTAGCTCCAGATGGCTAAACAGAGAGCTGACTGTTTGAAAAGTTTGAACTTAAATGCTCAGCACTCATGTGATGCGATGTGCACACAACACCCTTTCACAATATACAGATGGGTGACAAATTAAAGGAAAAACCAACATAAAGTGTCTCAGTAAGGTGTGGAACCATTATCAGCCGTCAAACCAGCTATAATGCACCTTGACATTGATTCTAAAAGACTCTGAACTGAACATGAAAAGATCGCAGCTCATCTGAAAGATAATCATCATTTGGTGATGATAGTGGTGGAGAGCGCATCACTATAACATCACATCAGTGGAAAATCCCCCACAGGTGTACAGCTGGGTTGAGATCGGGGAACTGTGAAGGTCACAGCAGATAAGAAAATCATTCAAATAATTCAGTGACCCCTTGTTCGTCTTGCACCCTGAGAGGGACCACTCCCATCAGGATACCCCTCCATCAAATGGTCAGTCATTCAAGCCTGTACCATTCTCTCCCTCTTGTTGAGAATATGATGAGGAATGGCCATGTCTCTGCAGACCAGTGCATCTGGTCTGAATGCTCTAAAGTGCATTCATCTTGGTATTGAGAGATTCATGCTTTGCAGCTCCACTGTAACATGCCTCTCTATCTGTCGACAGATGGATCACGTCACATGAGTTTCTGTTCTGTTTTTCCTCACACATCACACTAATGCATAAGCATCAAGATCCTCAACGACCACGTCAACCAGGATTCTCCACCCTGTGAAACCTCAGACCTGAATGCAGAGTTTACACAAATTATGTTTACATGGACAGCAATAATCTTATATTAACCAGATTAAGACAACAGTCTGAATGAGATCAGACATGGCATAAGCAATAATCTTACTAAGCCATGTGGAGTATTATGATTGACATTTTAAGTGTATCATAAAGCCTATGGGAGTTTTCACAGCATTCCGCGGCATCAAAATTTACAGCAGCTACCAACTGCTTGTAGTCATAATCAGATAAGCAACTCATGTAAACATCATGAGCGACAAAAATGTCTTATTCAGGATAAAGTCAAGAATCAGAATATTGTTGGCCATGAATCTTTGTCGTTGTTGCTGTTGAAACACTGCCCAGTTGAGCAGCCTTTGTAACTGATGCTCCTGCCGCCTGTGCCTCAACAATAACCTTCTTTCAAAGTTCTAAATACGTTTTCCTCTTGCCCACCTTATACAAAATCTAAATTAACAAGGCCTGTTCAGCATTGTTATATACAAGTCACAGAGCATGATGGGATCTTAAATGTATTTTTGTAGGATGTACTGCCTCAGTGTTGAATCAACTGCCTTATCAATTCTTAAAAAATATGGACGCCTTCTCTTTTGTGTTTGTTAGGCATCGAGGTCCAGACTCTAAAACAGGGGTGGTGACATTTTTTTAATATTTACTTTATAATATCCACAAAAGACCCTAATAAATATTTTAACCCCTCTTTAATGCAATGACAACAAATGCTTATCTTTGGTGATATTTCGGATGTCAGATGGTAGTGATGATTATGCTACAGTAGGTCAGTTATTTCTATCAGTGCGTTATTCCTCCCTTGTATCAAACTTAGCAGCAGTCCCTTGCACAAACATGGCAAACATTCCGCACCTACTTTTCCTGCTATGATGCCCGTCAGTGACGACACATAACAGCTACATGTGTTTCGTTACCCTGACGGTGACCCAGCAGATATACAGCCAGAAGGGACCACTCTGAAGGACGGTGGTCTATTTTATGTTGTTTTCTTTTATCACAGAAAAAAATCTCTGCTGTCCCGAGATTTATTTTTTATATTTGAGTTGCTTTTTTGTACTTAAAATTGCCTCGCGGGCTGGACAAAATTGTCTCCACCCCTGGTTTAAAAGGAGGACTTTGTGCACTTGGGAATAAGAATGACTGAGCGGATTGCCATGGGTTGATAATTTGTGACTTTACTTGTATTTCTTTCACCATAGCGTGACCAGCATTAGTCATTTCTCTATATAAAATAATTTGTTTTAAGTTGTTTACTGTTTAACAATACGAATAGTTGGGCCTCTTTTGTGAAAGGATAATAGGTGTTTGTAAAAAATAACCAAAACTCTGGTATCTTGTATTAAAAAGATTAATGATTGATTCATTGATTTAATAATTTGAAAAAAATGTAATATACCCAGCCCTATACAGTAATGGGTGATAACATTACCCTTGATTAGCGGAATTCCATGTGTTTGATGTTTTAAGCAAGCTTGAATACAGCAGTGAAAGCTTGACAATACAGTTTATCATCTGAAACACAGGTTTTTATATATAGTATTAATATTGCATTAATAATCCGACACATCCATCTCTTTTCAGCTGTTTTGGTTCCTGTATGTAACATATATCCTCCATCTCTCTTTGCAGACATTGCTCACAGCCATATCAATGAGTGCCATAGCAACCAATGGAGTTGTCCCAGGTACATGAAATGAAATGTTGCATTTATTATTCAACTTTTAATTTCTCTTTTTAAATAAATGCATTGATTTGGAACTGCTTCTGCAGTTTGGACGGAGAGAATCACATCTTAATGTGATTAACAACCTCATCAGCATTTGCATTGGTGGATTATGGTGACTACAATATGACACAACAAAGATACTACACAAAAAAATGGCCAGCAGAATTAAATTAAGAACTATAGTTAACCTGTACTATTATTTTTGTTCACAATCAGCCCTTCTGTGGTGAACAAAAATTTAAAAAAAATTGAAATGCTTTGTTTTACGTTTCTGTGATTTCCTAGAATATTTTTTAAAATGATTCAGCAAAAATCTTTAATTCTGCCATAATGAATCAAAAAATGTGGGTAATCTTCTAATGCAATATTATATTATATTTTATAAGAACCCAGAAATTGTAGGTAGTTACAGTGTTGTGTAGAACAGTGGCTCTCCACTCAATTCATAAATCTTAGGGGGTAAAGATGAACAGAGCTTGTGCATGAGCCCTGAGAACTGAGTTCCTTTTCTTTGGACATTTTCAGAAAACTATTTAAAGAAGGTTAAATCAAATAAAGATATAAGTTTAAGTTTAAAATTGAAGAAATCACTTTGGTAATAATCTAATTGGGAATTAATTTCTCTAAAGCCGGTGGCTCGTACTACATGATCTCCAGATCTTTGGGTCCTGAGTTTGGAGGAGCAGTGGGACTCTGTTTCTATCTGGGCACCACCTTCGCTGGATCCATGTACATACTGGGCACCATAGAGATTCTACTGGTATGTTTCCACCGCCTGAGAGACAATAGGACATTAGTCGTTACCTCTGCTGCACGTCATATTTACTCTCTCACTGTTGTGTCCCCACTGCCAGACGTACATCGTTCCAACAGCAACAGTATTTAAAGAAGGGGAAGACGCAGCAAGGCTCAATAATATGCGAGTGTACGGCACATGCTGCTTGGTCCTAATGGCGCTGGTTGTGTTTGTGGGAGTGAAGTAAGTTTACACACACACACACACACACAAACACGCACACAAACTTATATCTGTTCCCCTCCTCTCTGCAGGTATGTGAACAAACTGGCTCTGGTGTTTTTGTCTTGTGTGATTCTCTCCATCATGGCCACTTATGCAGGAGTCATCAAGACGCTCATCGAACCACCTGAGTTTAGGTGAGTTACTCACAGCAAAATAATACATTTTCATGAAACACGTTTTTCCCCCTCAAGAATGAACTATTCTTATCAACAAAATGCAAAATCAAAGCCATCGCCCAATGTTAGAGTACATTTAGTCCTACTTGCTGCTCAGAGATCAAAGATACAAACACTAGGGCAGTGTTGTTCGGCCTTTATCCAGCAGAATCAATGTCTGGTTTTAAAGAGAGAGCCAGACATGGCGGGACAGATGCTGTTGTGTTACTTGTTGCACTTCTGATTTCTACACGTGGCGTTCTATTACAGTCCCGCACTTGGGCGCCACTCTGCCGGCCTTGTTGGCTGCATTCTAAACAAACAAAGGTGGCATAATGAGGAGTCTTCTTAACGGCAACATTGTGGCAACTGATGCAAAAGGACAGATGAGAAGAAATCATTGCTGCTGCCCTTCATCGGACGTTACCTCACACTTACATAGTTTGTAATTTCAATAACAAGCACTCTACATCCATAATGCTGATACAAAGAACACCCTAATGCATAAAGATACAATTAACTACAAGTCGGGGTCTTGCCTATTTTCTCCTCTCACTGCGCAAAGTTCCGCGAAATAGAAAATGAAAATGATTTCAATGTCTGTTCAATATGTCAGATAAGCTGCTTTCATTCATGGACTGAATGCACTGGAGATCCTCAACAGTTTCACTGGAGGACGTGTAGAGAATTTGATGCGTCTGAGCAGAGAACCTCCCGCTGCGTTGTGCATGTGTGAAGGAAAATTGCTGAGAAAGTCCGGAGCCAATTCTCTATGTCTGAATACAGCTAAATAAAAATATTTGCAACACTTCCTGTACTTGTTTCAAAGTAAAAGCCCTCCACTGCTCCTGTTGACTGAATCCATTTTTTCTTTTTAACAAGGTTTTATTCTTATTGCAGCTTCATACCTGCTGTTTAGGGAGTACATAGGTTACTTTAATTCGAGGAAATACAGTAGTCATACCAGAAACCTAGCAGCTCTGCAGCAGCCTTGCAGCACACTCCCTGTGTGAACAGACCGTACGACATGCAGCGGATCAGCGACTCAGCTACAGACCGCTTCAAACAGTGTGGCCCTGGCATAAAAGCTGGCACAGTAGCTTGAAACAAATTTAATCGAATCTAATGTTAACAGTTCTGACTTGACCTTCTGTCAATATTCATTCAGTTTATGTAAAACACTGCACACGAGGAGTTAAAAGCAGCACTTTAATCTTTAAAGTTGTCTGGTTAATAAAAAAAACCTTCAAAAGAAGCCACAGCATAGACAAAAGCTCCCATTTTATTACACTACACATCTCTGTCTCTCTCTGTCTCTGTCTCCACAGTGTGTGTTTGCTGGGGAACCGCTCACTGAAGAATGAAAAGTTTGAAACATGCACAAAGACGGAGCTCTGGCCGCTCTTCTGTGACAGTGAATACCCCAATGCCACCTGCGACGAATACTTCATCTTGAATAACCTGACAGAATTACAGGCCATACCCGGGCTTCTGAGTGGAGTCATCAAAGGTGAGGAGGGAGACGTGGACAGAGTCTGAGCCCGAGTCCAGTGGTATTTCCTATAGTATAAGAAAGTGCATAAGAAACTGAAAAGTAGTTGCCAGATTCGCCTCAGCTTTGAATCCTAAATGTTCCTCCATCTCTCTCTGCTCGCATCTCTCTGTCAGACAACGTGTGGGGGAACTATGGTCCAACTGGAATGTTGATAGAGAAGCAAACCCAGCCTTCAGTACCGGTCCAGGAAACATCTAACGACATCTCCAAGCATTACGTCTTCAATGACATCACCACTTACTTCACTCTGCTGGTGGGGATATACTTCCCCTCTGTCACAGGTAGATCATTCTACACTGCACTCCTGTCCAAGACCAAAACATATGATCTGCAATGACCTGTAATGTCTGTAATTTTTACTCTGTGTGTGTGTGTGTGTGTTTGACTTTAGGTATAATGGCTGGCTCTAATAGGTCTGGTGATCTCAGAGATGCCCAGAAGTCGATCCCAATAGGAACAATAATGGCGATTCTCACCACCTCTTTCATCTGTATCCTCTTGTCTAGTATATTCTGTGGTGTGTGTGTGTGTGTGTGTGTGTGTGTGTGTGTGTGTGTGTTTTAGAGATCAACCCATTTTTAAGCAGTATACACCAATTGCTTGAGTTTCAGTTTGTAACTGAAGTAAGTTGTGCAGTACGAACTATATAATCTTTGAAGTTCGTGTAGTTGGAACTTGGCATAACCGGGATTTCTTCCACAAACCCCAAGTCATCTCTCTCTCTGCTCGACCTCAGCCTGAACGAGCTTTCTAACATGGCGCTTGATATCCTCATTTATATAAAAGCACATGAATCCTGATTGGACATTTTACACATTTGAAAACTGTTCCTCTGAGGCATTAATGATAGACATGCTGTGTGAAGTTGAGAAGAACGGTGTGTGAGGTCGACAGAAATTTGTGATATTAGTAGGTCCACGTATTTGTGTTAACCTATCAACTTTTTCCAAATCGTCGACTGGTTAAAACGGAGGCTCTGTACTTTAATTCCCCGTTGCCATGGTGAATTGCGGAATCAGAGCTCTATTGATGATGGCTTTTTTTGTACTCATTCACGAGGCACACGCTTAATTCAGAATAATAATGTCTAAGATGAACAAACCCAGCAAAGTCAGCTGTTTTGGAACCCACATCCACACCAGGGCTCATTTGACTCAGCGCAGGGTGAGGATCTGAATTTGTGACACAGGCCTCAGGCTGTTATTGGAAAGCAAATACAAGTATTTCCATCTTAAAGTCATGCTCAGACATCTCCTGTGTGGTCTTGTTTGGAGCCTGTATTGAAGGAGTGGTACTGAGAGACAAGTAAGTGAGTTTTTAATTGACTGTAACCCAGCAGAAAAACAAGTGGTTCAGATTATTGTAGTTGGTTGTACTGAGATAATCAATGGAACCAGGTATACATTTCGTTATTTAATTTATTAAGTTCTTAATAAGGGGTTACTATAATTAACTAAATGACATAACAGTGTGCATGTTTGTGGGTTTTAGGTTTGGTTACTCTGTAAAGAAGAACCCAGTGATTGGTATTCTGGCCTGGCCGTCACCCTGGGTGATTGTGATAGGCTCCTTTTTCTCCTGCTGTGGGGCAGGACTTCAGAGCCTCACCGGCGCCCCCCGGCTGTTGCAGGCCATCGCTCGGGACGGCATCATCCCATTCTTACAGGTCAGTGCTGCAGAAATTCTTCATATGCTTATATTAGTGGACACTGACAGTCATGACTTTGCACATTTCTTTGCTGATTTTCAGACAGCAGGACTTAAAGCCTTATGATGTTAAACTCTTCCTCAGAAAAAATGTAACAGGAGCAGTCAATGAAGCAGATTTATGATTGGGTTTAATGGGCAGTGATTTATTCTTATAAAGAAATCTCTCCTCACCTCCTCACAAACAGATGCTTTCATCAGGTTCTAAGTCTTACTAATCTTAATAAGACTCAAAACGTATTTGTGCTTTTAATATTCTGCCATTTCATTTCGCTCTGTACAGACCATCTGCCTCTGTATCTCTGTCCTCCTCAGGTCTTTGGTCATGGGAAGGCCAACGGTGAGCCGACCTGGGCTCTGTTGCTGACAGTGGGGATCTGTGAGATAGGAATCCTCATCGCTTCTCTGGACGCTGTGGCCCCCATCCTCTCCATGTATATAACTCAACACTTAATGAAAAGATGCTCCACTTTCCACATTACATGCAAATAGTCTGTTGTTAATTTGTATGTACTTTGTGGTATTTTTTTCTGGCCGGTTTCCACCTATAAATATTATGCATGTGGTCATTTTTAAAATCTAATTAATGTGTGCACTCATCCACTCAGGTTCTTCCTCATGTGTTATCTGTTTGTCAACCTGGCCTGTGCGGTACAGACATTGCTCCGTACACCCAACTGGAGACCTCGGTTCAAGTTCTATCACTGGTGAGAACAGCTTCAAACTGTGACTGTGTCCTTCTATACTCACATGTTTTGGTCACTCAACCAGCAAAAGTGTCTGATTTCTGTACACGTGTGTTTATCTTGTAGGACGCTGTCCTTCTTAGGGATGAGCCTGTGTCTCTCACTAATGTTCATCTCCTCCTGGTACTATGCCCTGGTTGCCATGGTGATAGCGGGATGTATCTACAAGTACATTGAGTACAGAGGGTGAGTCTGAACATTTCAGGTTAAGGGACCAATTCAAAAGTGCTGCTAACTCTCCATTAATGGAGATGACCACAGCCTTGATTTATATATATGCTACATAAGATTTACAGAACTGACACAAAACAAGTGGGGTTTTTATTCGATGTCACAGATGCAGCCACTTTTTGTTGTTAAATATATGCTTTGAAGGATGATCATTGAAGACAAGTTTTTTGTTTTTCATTCCTAAATACTCAAGAGATGAGATTCTCTCTTAATGCTACAAGAAAGTTCAGCAATTCCTGCACCATAACTTCTGTTTAGGAAAATATCCATGTAAAGTTCTGCTGCAGATGGATTTAATGTCAAAAATATTTTTCTTGTAGGGCAGTGAAGGAGTGGGGAGATGGTATTCGAGGCCTGTCCTTAAACGCAGCACGCTACGCTCTTATCAGACTGGAGGAGGCACCACTACACACCAAAAACTGGAGGTGAGCGTGTGTTTGTATAAAACATTCATTTGACACAGATTTTTCATTATACTTGTTAAAATACCACTTGTACTGATTAGTATGTGTGTGTTGTGACTTTTTGTTAATGTGAATAGTAGCAGCATCAGTTAATCTCTTCATTATTTACCTAGTTAATCAATATCCTCCACAGTCTAAAGTATAAAATATGAATAAATTCCCAAACAGTTCTAAAACAGTTGATAAACAAAAATATGGATCAAATTCACATTCTATTTTCCAAAATTTTCAGCTGTACAATCTACTTCACTTGGTTTAAATGCAATTTGTTCATTTTGTTCTTGTCTTCAGGCCTCAGCTGCTGGTGTTGTGTAAGCTGGACACAGACATGATGGTCAAACACCCTCGTCTCCTGTCCTTCACCACACAGCTCAAAGCTGGGAAGGGACTGACCATTGTCTGCTCGGTCCTGGAGGGAACTTACATGACGCGGGGCAACCAGGCTAAGTTGGGAGAACGGGTGTGTTCTTTTTTTTCAGTCATCTTAGCTGCCTTTGTCCTCTGGTGTGAAGCGGATGGAAATACTAGAAGAAGCTGAATGTTGAAATTAAGTTGAAGGCAGTGACTTTGTTAAAAAAAAGCTTTTCCATACAGAAGATAAGATTTCAGTTCTTAAGCTTGGAGACACCGGTTGACTCTTTCCTATAAATATAACACAATTTATCAACTAAACTTTCACTTCTCTTCCACTTTCTCAAACTCTTCCTCCTCCTGCTTGTTTCACTCACTTCCTGTAGAACCTGAAAGCCGCCATGGCTGCAGAGCGAACCAAGGGTTTTTCCCATGTGGTGGTTACGTCCAACCTGCGAGATGGTTTCTCCCTCCTCATCCAGTCAGCAGGACTGGGAGGAATGAAACACAATGCCGTCCTGATGGCCTGGCCAGTGGGCTGGAAACAGGCCCGGGACTCCTCTGCGAGGAGGAATTTTATAGGTAAAAAACAGAGGAGTGCTTCAAAGGAAATTAATAAGAAGATGAGATAATTTGATATTAATTTCTTTAATTCTGTCTCATTTCTGGAATTCAGTTTTTTTCAATGCAGCTCTGTGGCACAAGGCCAAATAAATCACATAACTCCATTACTAATAAAAAGCATTTAAATAAGTCAGAATAATAGTTCTAATAACTTATTCATTCCAAATATTTTCCCCACATTTATTTTAATGTTTTAAGACAATTTGTCCCATATTTAAACAAAAATTACTCTGATTAATGCATTTACTAAAAGTAACAAAAACTAATTAGCCCATTGAACATATCTCTCCCTTCAGAAACTGTAAAAGAGACGACGGCAGCACATCAAGCTCTGCTGGTTGCTAAGAACATCGACCACTTCCCTGGTAACCAGGAGCGTCTGAAGCAGGGAACCATTGACGTGTGGTGGATCGTTCATGATGGTGGACTGCTCATGCTGCTGCCATTTTTACTGAGTCAACACAAGGTAAATTCTGAACAAATAAAAAAAAAACAAGCATAAAATAAAGTATTTATGGCACAAACATAGATTATATAGATGATCCAATAGGTTTAGACAGACTGTAATGATTTACTATCGATAATAATCTGCAGGTATGGAGGAAGTGCAAAATGAGAATCTTCACAGTAGCACAGATGGACGACAACTCCATCCAGATGAAGAAAGATCTCCAGATGTTTCTCTATCATCTTCGACTGGACGCAGTGGTGGAGGTGGTGGAAATGGTCAGTGAGTCTGCAGTTACACCCTCATCCACTCAGTCATGCAGGCTTCTAAAGCAAGTGCTAATTGATGACTTTTAAGTGCTCTAGATAAGATTAACTGTCACAGCAAATCATATTTTTATCTAACTCTGGATAATGAATTTGCAAACATTCTCTCTGTCCCTGCAGCATGAAAGTGATATCTCCGCCTTCACCTACGAGAAGACGCTGGTGATGGAGCAGAGATCTCAGATGCTCAAACAGATGCAGCTGTCTCGCACTGAGAGGGAGAGAGAGGTAGAGCGATGCACATTTCACACTGTAACCAAGACAAACAGTACACAGGAAAGAAAAAATCTGCAGGGTTCACAATACTGCTCATTTAAAAGAGAATGATGTGATGCATATGATGAGTAATGTTGAAACAGACATTCTACATAAAGGGCTACAAAGAACAATTTAAGCATATTGTCCAAACACTAAAAATATCAAGGTATAAAAGGTGCTGTCACATTGTAAAGTGTTTAAAGCTATGCCACACTGGAACAGCTGTAATCCACTGTAAAATAATCCAATTAAAAAATTTCAATTCAAAAACACAATGGATAAATTCCACTGTGTAAAATAGAATGATTTGATTTTACCAAAAAAAAGTATGGAAACTAATTTTTCCATAGAGTTTTCTATTTTTAGTAAATCAAATGTGTTATATTTTACTGTGCACATCCCACTGCAAACAGCACAATGGTAATAAAGATAGAGAAGAAGGTGTAGCATAAACCCCCATGACCTGTTCTGCTCTTGTTGAACTTGAACTCTTCCCCAAACCTGGCGTTGTGATTGGACGACGGGCTCAGATTCAGAGCATCACAGATGTGTCACGCGGCTCCATAAAGAGGAAGACGCCGTCTGGTGTTGGCGCCCCACCCCTCAACACCCTGTGTATACCAGAGGATGAGGTAGCCATGGCAACCGAACAGCGCCATCGGTCCATCCATTAATCATGACATCCCTCCTCCCCTTCACCATCCTTTCATGACACCTGCAACTCTCCTCCATCCATTGTACTGTACATTCTGCCTTTGAAGAGCCACCGGGACATAAAGCTGCGATTAGAGGAAGATTCTTCACTAAGGATTCTGCTGCAGGACCACAACCATGTTCACCTCCTCAGAGTTAATCTACCCACTCCTGTCCACAACAATTTGTTAAAAATACGATCTGCCCCATCATATAGGGAAACTGATCATGAACTGATGGAGCATGTTTATAGTTTATAGCAGCAGAGCTTTTTCAGAATCTCCACAAGCCAGCAGATTCTGCAGTACTGTTAAGAAAGAACAATTTGGACTTTCCCTCATGTCAATTTTTTGACTGCAATGTTGCCTGTGTTTTTTGCACCAGAGAACTGGATTAATAACCTTTAAATGGTAGGTAAAAGAAGAAATATGCAGGTGACTGGATAGCGCTCATTTGTTTTTGCTGTCATTGGTCGTCTCTAGCTCAGGTTTAACTGTAGCAAAAGCTCCTCACCACAGCCCCCACACCAAGCAGAGGCAAACTTATTTTACAGGACACTCTGTCTGAACTCCAGGTCTAATATTAGATAAGTTGATGTCCTGTGTTCAGCAACATGCATATTTAGTTATGATGGAAATGCTTTTGGTATTAAAACCAAAGGTCCGATCCCTCCGAGTGTTGTCGTGACAGTTGGGGTAGATGTGTTCAGTCCTTTCACACCTTTATTTACATTCATCACCATTAAACTGCCTCTCACCTGACTGCTCTGATAACATCCATCATTCTTTTGTTTTCATGTAAAGCAATGATTTACACTATCTCCTGCCCAATGTTTAAACCTGAGCTTCAGCTCAAGAAGCTAAGTTTTGCTTTGATTAAAACATGTTCAGGATGATGAGACTAACATGCTGAAAACATCATCTGACCTGTCCTTTAATAGGCCCAGCTGATCCACGACCGCAACACGGCCTCTCACACTACAATGACCGACAAAGCTGCAGGCGCCACACCAGATCGTGTTCACATGACCTGGACCAAAGACAAACTGGTCAACGAGAGGAACAGACAGAGAGAAAGCATGGCGGTTAAAGACTTGTTCAATATGAAACCGTAAGTAGATCCAGCTTAGTTAAAGACACACTCCTGACCTGACTTGTCTGATATGATGAGTTAACTCAAAGGTAGATATTTGTATTTATGTACAACTGTTTGTACAACAATTATAACAGCATTATATATTTTAAATCATGATAATTGAAAAGCTCTTGGCAGCTATAACATTTTTAGAATTCTGAGTACTGCACCTAGTGTAAATGGTGTGTTATGGAACTGCTTTTCCCTTAAATGTGTGTTGTAATGTTACTATTTGCCTACATTTGGAATGTAATTTATTGATACTGGTTGATGTCAGATTGTCCCAACAATCTCAACAAAAGTCACTGAAGATCTTGAGATGATATAATTATAAATGTTGCTGACAATCTGAGAGAGGAAGAGCATTTATCTCCTCATTAATGCTTTTGCTGTTCTTGTTCTCTTCTAGTGAGTGGGAGCACCTGTAAGTAACTTTATTTTTCACCTTTTGATTGCCTGTGCATGAACTCACTGTGTGCATGTGCCCATTTAGGTTTGTGAGAATCATTTCAGCTGGTGTGCTTGTGCTCACGAGGAGCCAAAGTCTGTCTAAGCTGTTGATCCTGACAATTCACGTTTTTGTATAGCATCTACTTAATTTTTTAGAAAATCAACACTTGAACATATATCAGTGTGATAAGAACTACTTAAAATACATTTATTTGACATGTCCTTTGACTTTTAAATGTGTCAAGTCCCATCTGCTAACATGGAGGAGGTGGGGTGTATGACCTATTCTGCAGCCATCCACCAGGGGGCAATCCAGATGTTGTTGGCTTGGAGCTGTCATGTCAATAATTTTTTTAAACAGACAATATTTGAAAGTTGCTCACAGGGTCCATGTCAGTGCTGCATGTGTTTACTCATGTATTTACCCACAGGATCATCAGATTGCTCATACTGTGCACCCCCGGCAGATTTGGGATTTAGAACATTTAACCAAAAACTGACTTTGCTTGATCTGGTGGGATATTTTTCACTTCAGTCAGTGCTGTTACTAATGTCTCTGGTTTAATGCAGCAACCAGTCCAATGTGCGGAGGATGCACACTGCGGTGAAGCTCAATGAGGCAGTTGTCAAGAAATCCCAAAATTCACAGCTGGTTTTGCTCAACATGCCAGGCCCACCGAAGAACATGAAGGGGGACGAGAACTGTATCCTTTGTCAGAAAATTGTTAAAGAACGTGTGGCTACATTTGTGTATCAGTGCAACAGAGAGATGGGAGGATGGGCACTCATGTCTGTCCAATAAATATTAAACTAGAGCCAACTTTAGCTCAAATTGGATTGGCTTTGTAAATAAATAATAACATTTTTCCAGCTCAGTTGGTAAAGAATTTATCAAAGAATTTAATGAGTCAGTGGTTGGAAGTTTTTTTTTTTCTTTATTACATTTGGATGGAGTCAACCAAGGTATTTGTCCAAGCTTGTGGCTTTAGATGTATTCTACTATTTAGACAATTACATTGCTTGACAATGACATTACTTTTTGACCAATAAATTAATAATTATTGTGTAGAAGACATTAATGTTAGTACCGTACAATGTGGCTCCACTGTTAACTTACTTAATAAATAAGAGATTCCAAATGATTAGACTGTATATGCTTGGACCCATGACTTCAGTAATTCTAAAATGATGGCAACAGCCTCAACGTTTTTACCTTGTATAATTGTAATATTTCTACTACTGCAATGATATGTGAGTACAATTTTACAGTGGTAGTTGACCAAGGTAGAGCTAGATTGAACTATTTTTATGTAAAAGCTAAAATTGAGAAGTATTGTTGTGGAGTAAAAAGTACAGTATTGTGCAGGATATCCTTAACCATAACGTGTCTCTCAGATATGGAGTTTCTGGAGGTTCTGATGGAAGGCTTAGATCGCGTCCTGTTGGTTCGTGGAGGAGGTCGGGAGGTCATTACCATCTACTCGTAGCACCAATAATTCCGACCTGTTTAAAAGGACACTGGAGAAAACATGGTTGGACAGTGGGAAAGCAGAGAGCAGGGGACCTTTAACAAAGGAGGGCCCGGCTTCAACCTGGGACATGGACAAAGATGTGTGGCAGAGGACAAACAGTACAAACCCCCTCACTCTGTCAGGAGAGAAGAAGCTTGAGCGCTGCTTGACATTCTGGAGGACTGTGGGAAAGACTGGGGAGTCTTCCTACGACACAGCCTGGGCTCAGTGTGTCGTCTCAGGGCACAGAGGACGCTCCACAACCCTGTCGTCCTGGGGCTGCGTAACGCCTCCACATCTCCGCACTGTGAGGTCATCCTGCTTAGAAGCTCTTTCCTCTGAAAGAGACGCCTTTACAGTTCAGCATGTCATATTTCTTCACCAGACACCTCTCTGGAAGAAAGGACTCCTGACTACAACTTGTTTTGTAGTGTTTTGTAGCTACCAGATTATCCCATTGGTTTCAATGAGGAATGCTGACATTGTTGAGAATGTCTTCATTTCAGTGCCATTGAGGAAAACATTCACCGATGACCGACATTGGAATGAAAAAAATGAGTTGAACATGTTTTTAAGTCATAATATTTTGTAGAAGATCACGTGTGCCCATGTCACTGCACAGGACATTGAAACAAAACTGTCAACTGTGAGGACAGTTTCAGGGTAAATGTGGAGATTGAAAGATTGTTTTAAACACTGCTCACTTGTTTTAATTTGAGCAAAACATTCATGTATATTGTGTTGCTTCATACATTTTTATGTCCCCGTAAATGGGCTAATCATAAAATGTAAAGGGATCAGATGCCAGAACAGAACAATGATTTACAGGCACCTACACGTTTAATGTCTGACAGTAATCATGTGGGAGGTTGCTGACACAGTGATTTGTGGCGGTGAATCCCAAGCCAAATTCTTCCAGAGAGATTGAAATTAACGTTCAGGTTGATCCCTCACTCCATGTGAGTGTGACAGCAAATTAACTAGAGCATAATTTTGTGAGGTCAAGGAAAGGAAGACTACTCGTGATTGTTGATTGTCTTCTTGTTGCGCACATCTCACCACAAACTCTCTATCTTCGTCAGTGGATGTGTATGGCTCTGCTTTTACATCCTGAGAAATTAGTTTTCTTCCAATCCGGATATCCTGCTGTGTTCTCACATTGGATTCTGCTGTGTTAATGCTAGAGGGTGTCAGCAGAAACTCAGAGGCTCTCACTCGGACATACATGTGGGAGAAAGGAGAAACTGTGGAGGATCTCCGGGGTTCAGTGCATGTCTGAAAGCAGCTTTATTGATTTAGTACAAATACTGCTGTTCTCTCCATCGAGTAAATACACGTCTGATGCTCACTCTTTCTACCTTGGTGTCACAATCGGTATTTATCACTATATCATTTCCATTATACTTGGGGAAATCTACTGATAGCTACAAAGGAAAAAAAAATAAATTAGATTTACTACATCACATTTACATGTAATTATTATTCAGATGCTGTTATCTAAATTCACTTACACCTTTCAATAAAACAAGAATTACCTGAATGATAAGTATATATAATATATACAAGTTACATCAAAACACTACCTTGGAAAAACACAGACTAATCTCCATGTCTATATTGTTTTGTCCACATATTTCCAGCTTTAGCAAGAGTTCAGAACGATGTCCAGCTACAGTATATCAGAGCTGTGGGATCATTTGCCTTTCATATGGATACATTATGACCAAGATCTTCAGATCATCCAAAGGAAAGTGTTGATTCAGACATGAGAAAACGTTTAGAGATAGGAAATGTCAAATCAGGACATACAAAGGAAATGAAGCTGAATGCAGTGTACATTTCTGAATTCCCTCTTCTTATCAACTCTAATTTTCCTTCCTGTTCCTCTGACCCACTTTCAAATGAGAGCCCAGCCCAATTCTAAAAGCTGAATTGATGAGATATCTTTGGGCCTTCCTTGGCTTTTTAGTCTCATAAAGATGTGATAAACAGCCAGTGACTCTGTGACCTGTTGCTTTAAATCTTGAAGGCTGTAGCAGTATGATGTAGTGTCTGTATTTAAACATTTACACTTATGATATGGTTTTATCAAGATAAAATGTTTTATTGACTCAAAGATATGACATATAAATTAATATTACACTGAGCCCGGCCACATTTTGATCACATATACATCTATTGAGTATCCTACGGCAGTGCAACTGTGTACATCTACACTGTTGAAAGTTCAGTATATGATTTTGATGTCGCTCAACATATCACTGTTTTATTAAAAACCCAACTTTATTTGTCCCCGGAGGGCACAGAGCATGTCAAGACAACAAGTAAAAATCAGTGCAATATTATAGAACACGCTCTGCATGGCTGGTGGTTAAGTTAACAAGTCTACATGGAAATCATTTCTGTGAGACCAGGTCCCTGTTCTTTATGTAAGGATAACTGTGTTCAACCAGATTAAACTTTTTTTTAAACTGCCTTGATTTTTTGATCTTTCAAAGTAATTTAAAAGTGATCAGGACTGAATACAACATTCACTGGTTATATATAATTGTTTTTAATAAACAGTGGGGAACTAAATAACCAATGTAGGAACCGGCAGAAAATAAGATGCAACTCCATTAATCTATTTCCCCAGTGAATGCTGGGAGGGCACGGAACACAAGTGCAATTACAAACTTCAGTCAGCACTCACCTTCTTACATTTATTCACTCCACTGTAATTCAAGATCTTTAAACTTTTTTGTTTTTAAAAATAATCCTCCATCTGATATCACAACCTTTAATAATATTTAAAGTAATTTTTTTAATGTAGCAGAAACCCTGTCTGACACAGATGAAAGGTGAGCTGGTATGTTGTCACTTCTTACATAATAGTCTGAGGCTCAGTTTCCCAAATTCAATTTAATCCTAAAATCATCATTGTCTCCTGGCTCACAAAAGAACAATCTGCAGTAAGAAGCTGTCAGGAAACTTGGCCCAGGATAAATGGCCTCCTGTTTGTCCTGCAGAGCGGCTAGCTGGGTCATCACGCACAGGACAACAACAACAACAACAACCTACCGAGTCTGATGTCTGATCACTGTCTGAGCTACAGCTATCTGCTACACTGTGTGATGTCTGTCTGCAGGCCTCACTCTTTGTTACACACAGACTGAGGTTCAGACCCCTATTTGCCTATTTATTGTTTTCTAAATGACAAGCTTGTCTTCTTCCAGGATCCACATAAAAACACAATGGCTAAGTGTCAGTGTATTAAAAAAAAAACAGAGCTCATGAAAGAGGGGTTTTCATTTAAGTTTAACTGAGGTTGCAGAGACATGCTCTGAAGTTCTGCATGGGAAAAACACTTGATGGTATATGGGATATTTGCGTTTGGTTCTTGTGGAGACAGGTCTCAGTAAGTTTATTCTAAAGCTGTTTTGCTAAAAGGGAGACTAAACATAAGACCTGTCATGATCTGTCCTTGGGGTCGTCTTGATATTACATCATCAACATGAGATGAACCTCATGACCAAGCTCTGCACGGAAGCTCATTTCCAAGTGCAGATCTCCTAAAATGTTACCAATGCACAAAAGACTTACTCAATATGTGTAATTTCCGAGATCATATTGACTCTTGTCCATAGTAGCACAATGTATGTTTTGTCACAGGTTAAGTTTCCTACTGGGGGCGCCCACAGGCAATAATTCAACAGCTTCAATGAATAAAAACAGTGCATCCTTGTCTAGAAAAGCATTTTTGGTCTAGACTGAACTTAGTCAGCAACTGTTGGAAGGATTGCCATGAAATTGATTCAGAGTTTTATAGTGCAGAGAAAATGAATTATACTGACTTTAATAATAGCTTCTTTTTCTATAACTGCTTATATCCATGGTGACCCGGGAGTAAGAATCTCTGTGTACCTCACACCGTCAACCAAGTTTGCACTTATCCTGTGAGTAAGTAAAATCATCTTGGACAGATTGCCAAAAGACTCTGTTTATATCTATGGTCCCCAACCTATCCTTTTTTTTTATGTTAGCATGACACTCAAGCTGGCATTTGGAGGACTGTGTTTATATGTGCAATAGTATCCAGGTTATGAGGCTTATTCAGGTTTTGATCATATTCAGGAACAGAGTATCCGGTTATTAATTTCCCTCTGTGCATGTTTAAGTATCCCTGTTATTTATACCTGTGTTGTTGGTGAAGGCACCTGTGATGTTTAATGTTATCATGGTTGCAACAACACTATATGGTGGCTGTTGAAAATAATGTCACTTTGACTTACAGAGGGCTCAGCTCTAATATAAGTACCAGCACTGGGTTGGATTTGGCTTATTGACAGCAATGGGAGACATGAGCGACAGACAATATCAAACATGTCCTCCTCTTTGGATGGTGTGGTGATACTTTCAAGCAGCACAGGCCACAAACTCACAAGTTGTTTTTATATAAATAGCCTATTCAAGCACAACACAATACACAGTACTAATGAATTCACGTGAATGCAAAACAGGTTCTGGATGAGCCTGGAGAGATGATGCAGAGGCTGTGAACCTGGTGTGTGTTCATCCGGTCATGAGTTTACTTCCCTTATGTCCTCTGAGCAGGAAACTGTGCTGGTTGCTGTTGCTATGACAACTTTAAAAGCAATTTGTGTTTTTATTTTACAAATTAAATATGCCATCATTCCAAATAAAAAGCACATCAGACATTTTTCTTTTTTTTAACTTAATTTAAATATCACCACAATGTCTTGACCAAATCCAGATTCCTGTCTTCCAAATGTCCAGTACTGAGTGGAAAACACCAGATCACAACTAGTTACATAGATTTTTATTCATATTGTTTCCATTTTATATTCATACATTGACACACATTCTGTTTGGTCCATGTATTGTTGGCCCTCTGTTTTCAGCAATCACAGATTCCCATAACAAATAGCATTGTTTGTCGCTGAGGCTGGCCACAGCCATCATCTTCCCACAGCTTCCCCTGACCCTCCAGTTACATCTGAGGCTTTGACTAATTGGCATTTATAGAGAAACGATCTGAGGGCTGAATACGGGAGGAGAGCTGACGAGGGAAAACACAAGTGGATTAGGGAGAGAATGTAGAATGTTGACAGAGAAAGACAGAGGCTGGGGGGGAGAGGAGGAGGAGGAAAGGGAGGGTACCTTTCTTTCTCTTCATCCCATTATCATTCCAGCATCTGCTAATAGTGGGGTGTTAACATCACAACATGGGTAATTTCACTGAGACTCCTTGAGACCTTGTTAAGCCCAGCAGCTTTGTCTCTGTTGGCTTGGGAATGAAAGTCCAGCGCTAAGTGGACAGGGCATTCATCTGATCACATCTTAAATGTAAAAAATAAGATCACTATGGATTTAAAATACTTTTTGTTGTTTTGGTGTAAAACACAATATACTTGAGGTAAATTCGATCTGTGTCCCAACAGTTTCTCAGGGTTTGACAATAATTGTTATTCTGTGGAGTTTTTAGTAAGACGTGGGTGAGGAAGGCTAAACATGTAAAACATATAAAAGAGGGAATGTAATGAGCCCCCTACTGGATGGATGGTTGCAGAGCTAGACTGTTAGCTCACTAATGATTCATGTGCTTTTGAGAATGCAGTTAGAGCAGTGGTGTTCCATTGTGTGATGTACATTAATCGTGAATGAAATGTCGTGTGGGTGGGGTTATTTAAATCAACCCTCCAGGTTTTATTGGCTCATGGAGAAGTGGGTGTGGCCTAGTGAATATAGAGTTTGTATATAGAGAGTAATATGAAGCTAGATAATTATTAACCAGAATCTAGCTGCATATTAATAGGGGATTTGTGAAGGAGTGCTGTATCAAAATGCATTTAAAGCAAACATCTTTTAAATCTTTAAACTGTTGCCTAAGTTGCACAGTGAAAAAAAACTAAAGGGTGTTGCTGCAACTACAGCAGTTGGCCTGTTATGACAAATAACTCAATGGTGGCTCACAAATGTTATCAAACTTTACAATAATAAATTGTACCTAATACGTTGTATGTGGTACTGTTACACTATACTCACCACCATGTAGTACAATGGTGAGTAGTTACTATATATATATATATATATATATATATACATATATATACATACATACATATCTTCCCATCTCTCATTAGCCTGATAAGAATTGGAAAGACATTTTAGATAGATTCAGAGATTTATTTTAAATGATCGTAATAAATGGAAAACTACGTCATAATAGATCATGATTTTATTAATGAAAGGACAGTGACTCAAGCAGCTGCAGGTCAGGAGAGAGGGTCCACTGAGTGAGTGAGGGTAGGGGGGTCTTTTTTTTTTTCTTCCTTTAAGGGAGTCAAATTTCCCAACTCCATGGGCCTAGAGTCACTTCGCTCAGAACTGAGAGAGTCTTTGTACTGAGAGAGAGGGAGAGAGAGAGAGAGAGAGTGAGAGAGAGAGAGAGTGAGGGAGAGAGCAGTGTGATTCAGGTCTGTACAGTCTGGCAGCAGGACCACAGAGTTTGCCCGAATTTCATCACACAGCACTTGGAGTTCACTTCCAAACCTGGATTTTTTTTCACTCACCTGCTGAAATGTTTCAACGGTAAGACCATTTAAATACTGCCTCCTCATTTATTTGTGCTTTGACAGAAAACAGTCTTAAATTGAATTGACTTAACTAAACATTCAGACCATCATAAATCATTCCACCTCAGAGTAAACCTGTGATGTAGCAGCACCGAATTCTCCAAGAAACTTTTGAAACAATACTTAATTCAAATGAATGTTGTCTACATGCACCAATACACTTTTACAAAAGCTTTTGTCAAAAGTCAGAACTTTTAAGTGCAGCTTCAGTGACGGACATGTCTCCTCAGGTGGTCTCTTGCCCTGCATCTCATCCTGCTGTGCTGGTTGACCGCTGCCCTGCAGGTTATAGAAGGTAACATTCATGCTTCTGCATTTCTTTCAGGACACTGTAAAAAACAAAACAAATACAGTGGAGATGGGTCTTTAAGAGGAGAAAGGGAGCACACACTGTTGGGAGAGAGAGTAAAATGTAGTCCTTTCTCATTTTGGTGGAGTTTTGCATTTGAATTATCACAATGTTTAAAAGTGATTTATCTCATTATCTCAGATGAGGCTGAATATTCCCCATGTATCACATTGTGGCCAGTGAAGTTCTTATGTTATGTTAAAGGCTAAATTATTGACCATCATGACAACGAGGAGATCGTCCAGATATTCTTATATTTCAGGGGAATTCGGTGGTTTGCAGATTAAACTTTCTTCAAAGTTCTTTGCATACAAGACACATTTTTTTCCATGCAATTAATCTGCATGTTATTCATGTTTTTGTCCAGTCAATGCAAGCTTTCACACCAGCCTTTCTGATATTGTGGCTTTTATCTTTGAAGTAAATGTTTTCAGAATGCATGTTGTTGAGGATTTTGTATTAAAATGAGCACAGCCAGGACTCTTTGGGAC